CAGGGATGAGCTTCAACAACTTAAGTGGTCTTATTTCTAAGGGAAAGATAATGATTGGATAGCCATAGGTCATATGACCACCTCGACCAATCATTGAAGGTAGGACATAAGGTAGCTCTTGGCCAGGAAACTCAAGAAAACATGAAGTTTCCTATTTTCTTTATGACATTTTCGTGTTTGAATATAATTCATTTTAGTCCTTCTCACCCCATTATCCTGTCTCAGTCCCTACCCTTCCCCCCAGTGAAACCCTTCTTCTCCACAACTAACTCTGTGCGTGTGTGTGTGTGTGTGTGTGTGTGTGTGTGTGTGTGTGTGTGTGTTTAAATGGGGCTGCTTGCATGAACATTGGTAGTGCTTATTTACTGAAGTATAGACAACTTGTCAGTGGTCCACTGATAAAAGTGACATCTTGTCCCCCAGCCACTGGTATTAGTAGTCCCTCAAGGAAGGGTGGGCCCTCATGAGCCCCTCCCCTTTCCACACTGAGATGTTGATGGTTCTCATCATGTGTGGGTCTTCTTCAAGTAACCATGGCTGCAGTGAGTTCATGAGTCATGCCCAGAAGATCCTATTTTCCTGCAGTCCTTTCCAATGCTTCTCTTGGCAGTCTTTCTGGCCCTTCCCCTTATGTGATGTTCCCTGTGTCTGGGGCAAGGGTGATATAACTGTCCCCATTTAGGACAAAGCACTCCACAGCTACTTATTCTATATGCTTTGACCATTTGCAAGTCTCTGTATTAACTGTCATTCCCTCAAAAAGAGACTTCTCTGGTGGGGTACTGAGAGCTGAGCTAATCTTATAACATGAAGTTTTAATCAGCTCTATTTAAATACATCATTTAATTTGTACTGAGAAAAGCAACTGTTCTAACAAGATATTGCAAAGTTTTTTTTTTAAGGAAAAAGAAAACCATTGACCCAGATAGGATGCTTGATAATTCTTAATAAGTGCTATAAATGCTCATAAAAGAATGTGAAGATGCTTAATTGCTGAATAAATGAAATATAAACATTCATTAAGTTACTCAGAGAGTTCCTTAATATGGAGTGGGGAAATCATTTTATCAAATGCACTGTAAGTAATAAATGCTTATTTCCTTTCCTAAAACAAATTAATTCTTGAAATTGTTAACCACCATTTAAATGTTACTTGACTTTTGTCTATTTGTTTCCCCTCTTTTAATTTTTTTCCTTGCTAGTATGAGGAAACACATTCATCCAAGAGAGAGAGCAGCAAATAGCACAAGATGCCAAGCACAGGGAGTTGGGACCTAAGACTATGACTTTCAATTCCAGTCCTGTCACTCATGATTTCTGTGTCTGGCCAAGTCACTTAACTTGATTGATTTCCAAAGGGTGTGGGAAAAGGTGACTGTTATTAAGGGTTTTTTTATTATTATTATTCCCGTGTGTGCGCACTCATGCATGCACGTGTGTGTGCGTGTGAGCAGGTGCTCATGGAAGCTTGTGTGTATAGTGCATGCACGTGAGTGTGTGGATACATGCTTGCTGACTTGAGACAGGGTCTCTCACTAAACCAGAAACTCAGCCTTTTGGCTCGGCATTCTGGTCAGTGAGCTCTTGGGACCCATGTGTCTCTGCCCCCAAAAATGCTGGGGTTACAACAAGCACAGTCATGGTCAGCCTTTTACATGGCTGCTGGGGATCCACACTCAGATTTGCAGAGTTAACGATTGTACACAAGCCGTCTTCAGAGCCCATGTGTGACTGCCTTCACTCACCAGCTCCAACAGTCACTGTGATGCTAGGCCCACATGCTTCCAGGGCAGTGTTTTCCAACCTTAATTGTGTTTGGAATTATTTGAGAATATTGTTAAGGTTGGTCACAGTCCCGGCCACATGATGCTGATAATATTTTTTCTTTTTTATTATTTTTTTCTTATTTTACATATCAATCCCCAGTTCCTCTCCCTCTCTCCCTCCCATGCCTCCCGGCCCCCCTCTCATCCAATTCCCCCTCCCACTCCACAGGGAGGGTGATGCCTTCCAGGAGGATCAACAAAATCTGTGAAGTCATTTGAGGTAGGGACTGGGCCTTCCCTCCTGCCTCTAGGTTAAGGGAGTATCCCTTCATGGGGAATGTGCTCCCAAAGTCCTTTCATGCACCAGGAATACATCCTGGCTCCACTGTCAGAGGTCCCTTAGACTGCCCAGGCCTTCTAACTGAGAGCCATGTTTAGGGAATCTGAGTCGGTCAAATGCTGGTTTCCCAGCTATTAGTCTGGGGGTCCATTAGCTTCCCCTTGTTCAGGTCAGCTGTCTCTGTGGGTTTCTGTAGTCTGGTCTTGACCCCTTTTCTTATCACTCCTCTCTCTCAGCAACTGGATTCCAGGAGTTCGGCTCAGTGTTTAGCTGTGAGTGTCTGCTTCTGTTTCTGATGCTGATAATATTGCTCCAAACTTTAGAGAAGTGAGATTTTTGGGTGTCAATTCAGCTTACAATTATCCTTTTTGTATTTTTTAAGATTTATTTTAGTTATGTGGGAGCAAGTGCACATGTATGGTGCAGCATATGTGGACACACAGAAGAAAACATTTAAGAGTCTGTTCTCCCTCCCAGGAATCAAATTCAGGTACTCAGGCTTTTACCTGCTGCTGCGTCTCTCCAGTCCTCACAATTATTTCTTCAGAACTGCCCCAGTTCACAGTGGTGGGTCACAAACTGTTGATGTTGGGCGTCCTGGCTCCTCTCCCAGCACCACCACCTTGCCACAGCAGGTTACAGTAGAGGGTTTTTCTGGCTCAAGCTGAGTCAAAAGAACATTTCCCCCACTTGGGGATTTGAACCGTGACAACTAGAAATGTGACATTTGTTCATTCGTTTCACAGATTTTAAGAATGGGCTAAGAGCAGGGAAGGGATTGAAGAATTTTGAGGTTTTAAGTAGGATTACTGGGGAAAGCCATGCTTGTGTTCCCCTTCTGCAGTGATATTTTAGTCCATGTGTTGATAGGGATAGCAGAGCAGGTGAAGAAAGCTTGGCTCCATGGATGCATATGGGCACACGGGCACTCCATCCTTCCCTGAAGCCTGAATTTGATGGTGATGAGAAGAAGAAAGACATTTTTATTGCACAAAGCCACTAAGATTTGGGGGATATTACGGAAGCTGGCAATGCCTACTGGACACATATAGTTGTTCAACCCTTTCTGGAATCCTAAAAATTGCCCTAGTTAGACTTAGGATGTTCCCTTGGGATTGCCTTCTCCTATTCACTACTCTAGAACTTTAACATGAGAGTTTGTGAGAACTTGATGAGCTAATAAGTATGAATATAATTCTCAACATATAAAATGATGCAAAGCTCTAAGGAAGCCTGACAAAAACTTGCTTTCTGAAATGTGCCACAATCTAGATGATTAACTGGAAAAACAAAACAAAATTACTATTGACATGGAAACTCACATAAGGTCAATTTCTTTTTCGGGTCTTTTCTAGCTTAAATTTCTTGTTCAGGCTAGAAATCTACTAACTAGCAGTGAGAGCTCAGGGAGTAATTATAAAGTTCATAAATTCCCCTTCAGATGTAAATGTTTATATTTTAAGAGTCCTTGGAGACAGAAAAATATTAACATTTAATATAACACTTTTCATGTTTATCCACACAGGATGTGGGCGCATCCCCTGAAGGATCCTGGAATTGCACAGAGGAAAACAATCTTCCATACTGTATTCCCAGGGGCCTGTCTTCCATGGCTGCTGATCTCAAGAATTCGTAGCTGAGCATCCTTTGTCTTCTATTTTTTTTTTATATCCCAAGGAGCCACAGAAAAGCTGTCCCTGTGGATCACTCAGTATGAACCCTGTCCCCATTTTCTGATGCCTATAGCCAGATTGCATCTGAGACCAGCTCCCCAGGAAAGCCAGGGTCACATCAGCATTTCTTCATCCCATCTCCGTTCATTTTGTGTACTGGGACTTGAGTTTACCCTTGTGTGTTTGTGCATATTCTTAAGGAATAAGCCCCTTTTGAGTCCAAATGTGGGACCAATTCTGTTGACATGAAAAACACTTGAAGTCAAAACCCTCATCCTTCCAGTTACCAAAATGAAACCCCCTGGCCCAAGGTCCCATATAAGTCACAGGTCTCTGTGGGATATGTACACAAACTGGCAGCTTTCCAAAAGCCCACAGCCCTAAGGATAAGGCATAAGGTGTTCCTAACAAGTAGAAAGCTAACTTCTCCACATGGCTTCTAAGTCCTTCAGGAACAAAGGTTTGCCCTGGCTTGTTACAGCTGGCTGAACTGGAAAACTAGAAAACCAGAGACACAACAAAATATACTCCCACATAGATACCAAAGCTCAGAGAAACCAGATTTTTTTTAAGTTGTGATAAGGGAGGGGCTAGAGAGATGGGTTGGTGATTAAAAATACTCATTCTTAACGGAGGACCCAGGGTCTCTTTCCAACACCTACAGGCTCATAACTGCCTGTAACTCCAATTCTAGGAGGTCTGATGCTCTCTTCTCACTTTCTCAGGCACCAGACATGCATGTGGTACACAAACATACAGGGAAAACATTCTTGCAGGAAACAAAAATATATTTAAAGACTGAGTGTTCAGTTACTAAAGACCTTCATGTATTGCCCATCCATTCTCTACCCAGGTGTCCATCAACCCATCCACCCACACATTCATCCATCCATTTACTCATCCTTCTATCCACCTATCCACCAACATATTTATCCATACATCCATACATCTATCTATTCACCTGCCCGCCCATCGAGCCATTCATCCTCCCACACATCTACCCAAGGGAATAGACTGAGCCGAACCCCTTCTTTCATCAGTTCTGCACTCATTATCGGGGGTACACAAAGAGATGGAAGCCTGGCAGCCAGAAGGTGGAGGGTAAGAAGAAGAGTCTAGATGACCTCTCGAAGAACTCTGAAACACACTGGCTGGGAAACTGGAGAAGATTAACGGAGTGAGCTGCAGGAGCACAGGTGAAGATTAACAAACCACAGCCTCATCATAGAGATGCGGGGACCTCCGCGCTTCCTAGACAGACCCGGAAGTGGCTTCGGGAGCCAGTTTGACAGCTTTCACTCTAGAGCGTGGGCAGCAGCTACCAGAGGCTGAGTCTGCTCTCTCGTCCGTGCATCTACAAGCCACGCTGTCGTCTGCTTCTGTGAGTGGACCTGGGGTGCAAGGGCTATCGTCACCCTCTTCTGGGATGGCAGGGCAGTCCTAAACGCACTTTGACCGGGCTTGTGACAGGAGTCGGCTGAGGGTGACAGGTGACAGCCAGCCGAAGATGACAGAAACTGGAAGTGACAGTTGAGGGTGACAGGTGGCATTTGAGAGTTACAAGTAGTGGTTGAGGGTAATAGCTGATGGTTGAGGGTGACAAGTGTCAGCTGAGGATGACTGGGACCTGCTGAAGGTGACGAGTGGCTGTTGTTGAGGGCAACAAGTGACATTTCCGGGGTATGGTTGTGAGTAGCACCAGCCTAGATGGCAGGAGCATGCTCTCTCTATTTCCCAGGTTGAGCCATCTAGAATGTCAAGTTCTTAGACACCAACTCTCCTGTTTTTCCTTTGGCTTTTTTATTTAATTTTAAAGACAGCAGACTCCATGCACAGCCTCCCACAGGCACCAAGCCAGAAGCAACACAAAGCTTTCTTTAATATCACATGGGGAGGGGGAGAGTGTGGCACTCTTGCTTTGTAATAAATGATTTGGATTTTCCCGTTACAGTGGCAAACTGAGGTGCCAGTTAAAATGATTTTATAATAAAGAGGTACATATTAGATTGTGTTAGACAAGGTGTATGAGTCATATTTAAAAGGAGCCACTGTTATGATGAAGTGGTCAGGGCTTGTCCCAACACCAATGTTAGGCCCTAGACATTGAGGTTAAGAGTCAGCCAGAACCGATTCAAGCTCTGGGTACAGCTGAGCCTGCATGATTTGTAAGCAAGGTATCAGAGTTGTTTTCCTCATCTCTGAGAATCAGATGAGTCTAATTGCTGCCTCAGATTTGTGCTTAAGCACCGGTGGCACACCTTTAAAACCCCTTGCCTATAGTAAACAACACATGCAGCCATAGTTGTTGTGCTTTGCATTGTAGGGAGGAGGAGGCAAGGGTTCAGGATCACACAAATAGCTGATATAAATGTAGGGCCCGTTGTTCATGATTCTCAGTATAAGAATTTTAATGCTGTACCACGCACCCCACTGCCTAGGAGTAAATGAGACAGCTTCTCCTTTGCCCTCCTGAGCCATTGCAGAACGTGCTGGTTGTGAAACCAACATGGACTCTATACCTGTTGCTTCGGGTCATGGACTCTGCCCAGCCCTCTGTGGTTGCGTCATTAGTGGTGGAGTCAGATGTCCCTTGGCCCTAGCGGATACATGGATCCCTGTATCCACTCACCACCTATGGAACCTGGAGTTGATCATTCAGTCTCTGGGCCACAGTTTATTCACCTGTAAAATGGAACCTGCTAATTAGCACTGTCTCTTTAGGGCAACGATGAGCCCTCAGTAACATGATTTATAAATAGGTTGCAGTGCAATGCCTGGCACATTGAGGGCTTAGGAAGTAGCAGGAGACACCACTGTGGTAGGATGGAGTAGTAAGCATAGCAACTTTGAGATGGAAGGAGGCATGAGAGTAGCAGAGAAGTCAAGGGCCGGTGCTATTTGAAAAGCTGTGGAGAGCTCACCCCTCTGGATTACTATTGCTAGTCTACCAGATGCTCCTTGTTTCAGAAGATGGTTCTAGAGAGAAAGTCTACATTCACATATAGTGATTTGGCACTAGCAGTTATGAAATGGTTTGAGGTGTGAGAAGATGGCTCAATCAGTAAGGCACTGAGTTGGATTCCCCCAGGTGGCATGTATGTGAAATCTAGTCTTGGGAAAGTGGATCCTTGGGGCTCACTGGCTAGCCAACTAAATCAAATCATTAAATCCAGGCTGTGAGAGACCCTGTCTCAAAAAAACAAAACAAACAGAAAACCTGGGGCTGGAAATGGCTCAGCAGTTAAGAGCACTTACTTCTCTTCCTGAGGACCAGGGTTCAGTTCCCAGGGGTTTACAACATCCTGTAACTCCAGATGCAAGGGATCCAGTGCCTTCTTCTGGCCTCCATGGGCACCTGCATATATCTGGCAGAAACTCACACAGGCATACACGATCACATACATTTTTAAAAAATAGTAAAATAAAAAGTAAAGAAAAGGATGGGGAGAAGGAGGAGGAGGGATGGTTCCTGAGAAACAACAGCCAAAGGTGAGCTCTGACCTTCACATGCAGGTACAAATACACACATACAAGGAAAAAATAAACAATCCATTTCATTCGTCACTGTAAAGAATTGCAAGTGCCTATTGTGTAACAGATATCTAGGTAAGAGGAGTATACGTGGGTGGCTGCACAAAAAGGCCTGACCCACAAGAGGTGATTACTGTGACTACTCAGCAGCCATTACATACAGTTCTGCCTCTTCTACATTTAGAGTCTATACTTTCCCTGTCTTTCACATCAGGGATTCTCTCTGTCACTGATAGCTACATTGTCATCTTTTCTGCATTATATTAAACACAAATGCATCCTTTCCACACCCTTCATGGAACACAAACAGCATCAGCTCTTAAGTCCTGTCATCTCACGTGTTTCCCAGGACCCAGGACATTTACCTCTGAGAAGTACTTTTTCAAAAACCAAAGACACTAATCACAAGGTCACACCCCTAGAGGTGTTTTAATTTTCCTTATGATGATGAATTGGTATGGGGGGGGAGGGACTTTTTATGAAACAGTTTCTCTAGCCCAGGATTTTTTTTTTTTTTTTTTTTGAGACACAATCTCCTCCTGACTCTGGTTCTCTGGTGCTGGGATGATAAGTGGATGTTTTATCTATATAAAAACAGGCTTTGGGTTTGTTTGTTTGTTTGTTTGTTTGTTTGTTTTTAACAGACTGGCTTTGAACTCTCTAGCCTGAATCTCCTAGCTCTACCTTCAGAGAGCTGGGATTACAGGCTTACACTGCTATGCCCTGTTTATACAGTGCTGGGGGCAGGAACCCAAGCCTCCCTACTTGCTAGGTAAGCCTCTACCTATCCAGCCCATCTCCAGCCCAGCTGTCATTTGCCAGGTCTTTAGGCAACTTAGCTCAGTGGTTGAGTATTTGCCTAGCATACTAGGCCCTGGGTCCCCTCTCCAGCACTACAAAAACAAAGGCCACACATCTAGCATGAGGGCATCTTAAACTCTTCCTGCTTTAGATGCCATTGGCCAGATGCTAATTATGCCTGCACTGAGCCAAGATGCCAGGAGGTGAGCGGCATCATGGCTTTGAACCATGGGGCTGAAGGAACAGTATGCATAATCTTAGGTTTTTATTACTGATCCTTATATTTAATTAGGTCTTTGTAAATCTCAAACACTCCCAGTCATATTTCATTACTTTCTGCCTTTAACTCCCCTGTGAGACGTCAACTGTTACCCTCGCTTTACCTTAGCATTATCAAGAGGTCAGGCAGATTTTAAACTTCTTTCTTTCTCCTGTTGGTAATTAAGATTCCTTTTCTTTTCCTTAATCATGTGCTTAACTTTAACCTGTTTCTGAGAAAATGACAGCTCGGGTCAGATGCTGCCTCCCCCATCCCAACAGAAAAGCAATTACTGAGCAAAGCTACATTTTGGAAGTGCCTCCAGTTACAGTCATCCAGTGTGACCCCAAGAGGAATCAGATGTAGAAACTCTAAGCATCTGGAGTGGAGACGTGCTGTATACTCTTTCTCCTCCTGCCTTAGCCCTCAAGGGTATTTCCTAGGGGCTCTATGGACTGTGTAGATCTGTCTTTCTCCTCTCTCTCTCTCTCTCTCTCTCTCTCTCTCTCTCTCTCTCTGTGTGTGTGTGTGTGTGTGTGTGTGTGTGTGTGTGTGTGTGTGCGCGCGCATGCGTGCGTGTGATGTGAGGTATATGTATATGTATATGTGTGACATGTGTACACATGTTTTTGGTGTATGTGCATGTGTGGGTATGGGTGTGTGCTCACTCTATGTATATGGACATCTAGTGTCCACTATTCTCCACCCTCTTTTTTTTTTTTTTCAGGCAGAGCCTCTTACTGAATGTGTGTTTCCCTTTTAAGCTAGACTGGCTGGCCACTGAGCACCCAGGAGCAGCCTATCTCTTGCCTTTCTTCACTGGGCTTACAGACACACTCAGCTGTGTCAGGCTTTTGTGTGGGTTTGGGGAATCTGAAAAGCCCCACACTTAGATAGCTAAGCTCCTATCTCTCTCTCTCTCTCTCTCTCTCTCTCTCTCTCTCTCTCTCTCTCTCTCTAATGTCCTTTTGTTGTTGTGGGTGAAGTGGCCACTCCCTAGGGTGCCCTTTGTGGCTTCTGACCCCTAGACCTGGGGGGCAAACTTTGTTTCCATGGCTTTTGCCTTGCTAAATTGTGGATTTTTTTTTTAACCTTTCTCTTCTGGCCCTCCCATAGGTCAGTTTGACAGGTTCTTGCCTCTGATCTCTCTGGAACTAGCTTAAATAGGCTTGACAAGTTTCCGAGGCACTCGTGACTGGACATTCCTGACCCCTGAGCTTCTGACTGAACTGGAATGTATGGTTATAGATGCAAAGAGCAATTGCAATATTTCTGTCACAAGTTTTTAATTGTAAGAAGCCTTAACCATGCTTAGGTATGCTTTGGGGATAGTTAAAATAGTTTGAACTCTGCCATCTGCCATCTTGTTAGTCATGGTGTCTGTGTGAGAGAGAAACAGAGGTGGGGGTGTCTATTTACCTGCCTGCCTGCCTACCTATATGTTTGCAGAAGATAATCTTGGATATCATTCTCCAGGTACCATTCACATTGTTTTTTAATGCAGGATCTCTTACCAGGATCTAGAGCTCTTCAGTTAGGCAGACTAGAAAGCCCCAAAGATCTGCTCCACTCCACCTCCCAGCCCTGGCATCAAAAGTGCATGGCATGATGCCCAGCTATTTGTTCACATGGGGCCTAGGTATAAACTCAGATTCTTGAGCTTGCATGGCCAGCACTTTACCAGCTGAGCATCTCAACAGCGCCTCCCCCCCCCCCAACACAGCTCTTCTTACAAGGTGGGTAATTTTGAGCATCCTTCTGTCAGAGTCATCACTTTTCCTCCAGCTTCTCCTAGATGCTACCTACTGTGGCCTCAGCATCTTTTCAACTCTTCTCCTTGGCCTCAGCTGAGTATGCTAGCCCTTAGTCCTCACCAATGTCCCTCCCATGTAGCCCCTCATCACTTCTTGCCTGGGTTCTATTCAAGCTTTGGTTCCCTTCCTTAGTGGAAGCCCACTCTTTTTTAGAAAACATGACTGCCCTGTCAGTTCTCTGCTATAAACCAAAAGTTTCCTGTTATCTATGGAATGGAGTTCAGACTCCCCAGAAGGGGACTCAAGGCTTTCTCTATGCCAATTCCAACTATCCTCCTTCTCCAAGTATACCCAGCTACTGTGGACTCCCCGCACACACATCACTTATCTAGCATAGCCTTCCCCATGAGACTTCAATTAATTTGTGATGTGCCCTGAGCCTGTGACAACCGTCAACTTTGTATCAGTCTTCCTGTGGTCCAAACACTCTGAGCTCCCTCTTCCAGGAAGTGCTCCTTGGTGAGAGTCGGAATCAGCCACCATCTTCCATGTTCCTGCAGCACTTTGCCTGTTACCACTCAGAAAAGTGACTTTGCTTCACATTTGGTCTTGTGTTATGACTTGCATTTTCTTTTAAAAATTTTTTTATTTAATATTTTTCTTATTTTACATATCGATCCCAGTTCTCTCTTCCTCCTATCCTCCCATGCCTCCCCCCACAGACCCTCCATCCCATCCGCCATTCACTCCCCAGGGAAGTTGAGGCCTTCCATGAGGGATCATCAAAATCTATGAGTTGTATTTTCAATGTCTCCTGTGCTCCAGACTCCATCCTACCCGTGGCACCATGGTGGGGATGTGGTGGGGCCTTTGGGAGGTGGGACACAATGGAAGGACATTTGATCATTGAAGATGTGCTCTTTAAGAAGCTACACAGCCTCTTCCTCTCTTGCTTTACCCTGCACACCCAGTGCCTCATCTTATGTCCCAATAACAACAGAGCCAACTGGCCTTAGTTTACACTCCTGCAGCTATGAGTCAGAATACAGCTCTCCTGAGAAGGCTCAGGTACTTATCTTGTTCTTTAGACACTGGTGGAAGTCTCTGTTCCCATAGTAAGTGCCACAGTGCCAGATCCCTAAGCCACTAAGCCTGGCATCTGTCACATTCTGTAATTCCACACTTTTTAGGAAGTTAAAATGGTAGCATTAAACAGCATGGACTACAATGACTACTTGACACCTTAGGGCCCTGCTCATTTGTGTCTATCACAGTTTTATTAAACTGTTTATATTTTGTGTTGTTAAGAATCATCCAGAAGTTTAGTAAATATTCATACACATATGTCCATTTCTGGGTTCAGTGAAGGAATACCCTGGTGGAAAAGGAAGGACCCCTTTTTCATGGAATTTTTGTTCTAGGGGAAGGAGTGGGACAGTTTAAAGGCACATGGTTAGCCATGGCACATGCCATGAAGAAGGCAGAGTAGCTGTAAAGAAATTAGAGATGGGTGAACAGAAGCCTCCCTGAAGAAGGTCTTACTGCTGAGGAAGCTACAGCTCACCAGGACCTGCCAGAGCCATATGCCACACTGTGCTGAGCACAGGACACACCAGGGAGCCTGGCATGGTACCGGGAAGTGGAGAAGATCCACATGGCTCCAGCACAGAGAGTCAATGGCAGAAGAGTGGGCTGTTGAGCCAGGCCACAGAGGTGAAGGCTGGAAGTCTGGAAACAGCAATCAGCAGTCCCCAGCATGAAGGATAAAGTCATAGAATGGTGTCACACACAGAATTGATGGCATTTGCTGTCAGGGCCACTCCAAGTGTGAGCATTCTGTTTTCAGAAAGCAAGATGGGCATGTGACTTGGTGGTAGAACACATACCTTGCATGTGTGAGAGCTGTGTTCTAACCCAAGCACTGCAGATGATAAGATGGTTTGGTGTTTAAGAGAATTCACTGCTCTTCCAGAAGATCACCCAGATTAGATTCCCAGCACCCACATGGCTGCTTACAGCTGTCTTAACTCCTATTCAAGGGCATTTGACACCTTCTAACCCTCACAGATACTTCATGCACACGGTACACATGAAAACATACAGGCAAAACTCTCATACACATAAAACAAAGAAACACACACACATATATATGTACATATGTGTGCACACACAGATATTGTTAGTTAGAAGGTCACCATTTGATATATTAAAGAGGTGCTCTTTCATGTCTTGGTCTTCACAAATTTTCTTGTAGTATAATAGTGGCACTTGCTCCATGGAAACCAGCTGCCATCTCTGCACCATTTTTCCCAATTCTCTGAATGGTTCTTGCCCCTGTTCTTTATATCCTCACACCTCTGAGACCATTGGTGAGCCTTATCTACAGCTGTGATACTTCATGAGTGATCTGGTTAGCCTCACTGGCTAGAGACACAATTTCTAGAACATATTGACCTCTGTAACCCTGTGTCTTGAGAGCTCTAATCATGGCTATCTAAAAAATAATGATTTGACACACATCAGAGCCTGGGAGAAAGGAAACAAGAAATGACATCTATGGGGTAGCCATACCATGCAGTGTGTTTGGAGTATTTAGTCTACATTGTCCCATCTTGTCTCTATAAGCATGTAAGCTTGTCCTCAGCTCAACTTTTTGAATGAAGCCACAGGCTCAGAGTAAATTACTGACCTAAAGTCATACAATTAAAGAGAGCCCATTCTCTTTCTGCCAAGTCCATGTTTCAGGGCTTAAGAATATGGGCTCATGGTGTCGGCTATCCATTGGGTATGCAGGGGAGAGTTATTTACTCTGGGTTGGAAAACGGGGTGACAATGGTGGGTTTGTTTTTGTTTTTGTTTTTTGGTAGATCCTGTGCTCAAAAAGTGCTTGGGGTGGGGGGGGCCGTGTGACACTAGTAGTGAGTGCCACAGTGTATCTCCCTTTGTCTTCGCTTTCTCTTCTAAGTGCTGCTGCTTTTCTAGAAGTGTGAAGACATCCTGAAATAGAACAGCACACAGCTTACAGGAAAGTAAGGTTTAGAGAGAGCGGGTGTCTCAGCCAAGAAGTGAAGGGTGCAGCTAAAGTAGCAGAGGTGTGACTGGAGCCACACGTCTCAAAGTTTCTCCTGCACTAACAGATTCTTTTGTTTGGGTTGAGTGTCTAGGCACTGGCCACATAAGGCCACATAACCAGAAACTCACACATGCTGGGTACGTGCGCGTCCACTGCCTTTTCCTTCTTGTTAGCTCAGAACCAAGATGAACATGTTTATACAGGGTCATAATGTTGTGGCTTCTTCTTGCAGGTCCAGTTGTCATTTTGCTGCCTCCTATGGACTCTCCGAGGTTCCCAGAGGAAACCGTCCTCATAACAGGAGGAGGTGGATATTTTGGCTTCCGGTCAGTTCATCTACAAAATATACTCATGGAATTATTTTACTGGAGAGTTTTCAAGTCTCGTGGGCTTTGACATGTCTGTATGGTGCTGAAATAGAAGCAAACTCTGCTGCTCACTGCTTAGACTTGAAAATTGTAAAGCACAGACTTATTCCACTTCAAGAGAAATTATGTTTTAGTATGTGTACCATTTTCTGCCTGTATGTATGCCTGTACTCCAGATGAGGGCACCAGATCTCATTGTAGATGGTTGTGAGCCATCATGTGGTTGCTGGGAATTGAACTCAGGACCTCTGGAAGAGCAACCTGTGCTGTTAACCTCTGAGCCATCTCTCCAGCCCCCTAGAGTTACAAGTTTGTTTGTTTGTTTGTTGTAGCTTTTTTTTTCATTAGGTTTTTACTATAGTTACTAAGTTACAACAAAGGCTATGCACTTTTAAGGAAAATTATTTTTTAAACCTGTAAATGGGGGCCTGGTGATTATTCATTTCACCCAAAGTGTTTTTTAAGCCGAATTTGTTTCTTTTCTCATCACTGTGACCAAATACCTAACAAGAAGTAGTTTAAGGGGTGGGGGGCATTTAGCTGGACTCATGGTTTAAAGGGGAGGACTATGGCAGAGGAGCATGAGGCAGCTGCTCACAGTGCCCCTGGAATCGGAAAGCAAAAAACCAACAGGAGGCTAGGTCTGTCTACCATACTCAAGGCCTGCCTCTGGTAGCCCACTTCCTCCAGCAAGGCTCCAACTCTTAAGGTTCTATAAACTTCCAAAATAGCACCACTAGCTGGGAACCAAATACTCAATGACATAAACCCCTGGGAGATGCTTCATATTTACAACACAGTAGGCATTCTGTCACAGAGACACCACTATCATTTATGTTTTCGAGAGGATTCCTGTTTGTTTGTTTTTCAAAATTTAAATGAGACCTGTAGCAATAAATATATAAGATAGGTGATTCAGGATGAGTTAACAAGACTTGAGTGAGCCCTACCTTATTGGCAAATTGTTTTATGCCCTTTTCCTAGAAAGCACTGGAGGGTGGCCTGATCTAACTAACACTGATCTTTCTTGCCTCAGCCTCGGCTGTGTTCTGAACCAGAAAGGAGTCCGTGTGATTCTGTTTGACATCAGCCAACCTTCCCAGAAACTTCCAGAGGGAATCACGTTCATCCGTGGGGATATCAGCTGCCTCTCTGATGTGGAGAAGGCTTTCCAGGACACTGTCATTGCATGTGTGTTTCACATTGCCTCTTATGGTATGTCTGGGAGGGAGCAGCTGAACAAAACCCTGATTGAAGATGTCAACGTGGGTGGCACAAACAACATCCTCCAGACCTGCCTGGAGAAAGGAGTTCCCAGGTTAATTTACACAAGCACGGTCAATGTCATCTTTGGGGGTCAAGTCATCAGGAATGGGGATGAGTCTCTACCTTACCTGCCTCTTCACCTGCACCCAGATCACTACTCCCGGACCAAATCCATTGCAGAGAAGAAGGTGCTGGAAGCCAATGGCTCGGCCTTCAAGCAAGGCAATGGCATCCTCAGAACCTGTGCACTAAGGCCAGCTGGCATCTATGGGGTGGGAGAGCAAAGGCACCTTCCCAGAATAGTGAGTTACATTGAGAGGGGCCTGTTCAGATTTGTATATGGGGATCCCAGTAGCCTGGTCGAGTTTGTCCATGTGGACAACCTGGTGAAGGCTCACATTCTGGCCTCTGAGGCTCTGAAAGCTGACAAGGGCCATGTTGCCTCTGGGCAGCCCTATTTCATCTCAGATGGTAAGCCCGTGAATAACTTTGAATTCTTTCGGCCACTGGTTGAGGGCCTGGGCTACACATTCCCATCCATCCGCCTGCCACTCACCCTCATCTATTGCTTTGCTTTCCTAGTAGAGATGACCTATTTCATTCTGGGTAGGCTCTACAACTTCCAACCTTTTCTCACCCGCACTGAGGTTTATAAAACTGGTGTCACACATTACTTCAGCTTAGAGAAAGCCAAGAAAGAGTTAGGCTATGAGCCTCAGCCATTTGACCTGCAGGAGGTGGTAGAGTGGTTTAAGGCCCATGGTCATGGCAGAAGGCCTGGAGATCAAGACTCAGAGTTTATTCTGTGGGATGGAATTCTGGTCATACTCTTGGCACTATCTCTTCTTACCTGGTTCCCTCCTTCTACAGTTCTGAACATATGAAGAGAAAACTACACATAAGAGCTGAGCCTACTCCATAGGATGGTTTTCAAGAATGCAGGTTTTTAAAGATATTTCACATTATTTGGTACCACTCCTGGGTCTTCAAATGACTGCTTAACAATGAGTCTTTAAACCCCATGGCCACGAATAGGCTATTTCCTTATGAATTGTTGGTCAGGGATGCTCCTGAGGCTTCTAAAACAGTGTTGACTGTTGCCAAAGCTCTTGGTTGCCTACCAGAACTAGATAGTAAGACCCTATTAAGAAGGCCTCATACATTTTAGCAGCACATGAAAAAAAATCAAGCTGGAATGGAACTGTATCCCTCCTCTCTACTTGCTAGATTTCATAGTGTCCAGAAGGTTCTATGCATACTGCTGAAGGAGAACAGTCTTATTCCTCTGCAGACCTTTCATACTGAACTACCAATGACAGGCAAGGTGTAACCTCTTGTGCAATAGTAGCATGACTGTTTGGGAATAACCAGCTACTTCCTAATTGGATTGGAGACCTGCTCCACAGGAGAGAGTTTGCCCCTGGTACTGTAAACCTGTCCAGATGCTCATGGCTAAAGAAGCCATAGCCAAGTGGAGCCCACTACTGATATTTTGCTACATAGAGAAGTTGTGCCTGTAAAACTGCTTTCTATATATTTATGTTTATACCCATAGATTAGTGCTGCTCTCAGCTGTGATCAGAGAAGCATCTCTCTGTCGCAGTCAGCAGTTATCCTCCAGAGACCCATAACTGGTCAGTGCTGAGAACAAGTGAGTGGTGAACGCTCATCCATAGACAGGACATCTGTGTCACCCCCTCCAAGTCTCATGGGACTCAGTAGCAAAAGCGGTAGAAAGAATGCAAATGTTGGAGGAAGGTGGGGGAGTGTCAGGGACTCTGTCTTCTGGAAGTGACATGACCACTGTCCTCATGAACTAACAGTAGCTAGGGTTGCCTTATCTAGACTGCACAAGATGGGGCCCATCACCATTCTGCCAAAGGAGGGAAAGGAGCTCATAATACCCTCTCCTCCCTGAAGAGCTGATGGCAATTGGTGGTTTCCTGGTGTGGGAGACACTTTCCCTAGTGGTATATTTGCTGCTAAGATGCCCCATGCTCCTGTGAGCAGTCATAATGCAACTCTTTGGGACACACACACACACACACACAGACAGAGGAGGGCAGTTGTGGTCTAGAAAGGAATCAAATTGGGAAGAGATAAGAGATCAATGGGAGTGGGAACAAAGAGGGTATAGGGGTGAATATGATCAAACTATATTTTATACATGTGTGAGACTGTCATAATGAAACTCATATATAATACATGCTAATAAAAAAGGGAAAAGGTGGATTCCTGGATTAAAAATTGATTTCCTCTGTCCCAACTGACCCTGTTGGGAGACAAGAAGACACAAGGATAAGTTTGAAGTTTGGTCTCTGTGCCCTTGAACCCTAGCTATGTGCAGCAGGAAGTCACTCTGAAGCCAGGGAAGGGCATTAGTTGGATTAGAAATTCTAACTTGGATATCTCAAAGATGGATCCATGTTCACTTCATACACTGCATGTGCATAAAGCAGTAAAATTCAGACTTATATGGAATTGTCAAAACTGAGGCTTGGATTATATCCCTAGCAGACGATTCTCAAGGGGCAGTGGCTACTCCAGGGAGAAACTAGCTGTCCATAGCATAGTTTTAGGATCCTCTAAAACCCCTGCCCTTTGTAATACAAGGGCATCCCACCTGTGTGAGCATGAGCATGGGTCATATTTGTGTTGAAGCAGAGAGAGTGGCAGCCTACTGCATAGGATCCTCCTGAAGATTAAACTAGACATTTACAGGACGTGCATGCCACTGTTACCAGTATCGTTGCTGCACATTCCTTTTGAAGGGCCTTTTCCTGGAAATATTCTTTTTAGAGGGCCTATTGTTGCTGAACTTTCTGAAATGTCTTGAATGTTCCCCAGGAGCACACAGCAGTGTGTGCTCAGTGTCTGTAACATTCCAGAATGTGGGAATAGACTGGAGTTTAGGGCAAAGCTCAGATCTGATGGTGAAGGGCAGTGTTAAAGCTCTCTGTGCTTTTAAGTTTGAAATCACACTATAACTCCACTGTGGTGCTGCTTAATGAGGAGGGTGTGGTCTCTGAAGGCAGCTTCCAGTGAGGAACAATGGCAGCATTGCCCGGCCACCCATGAAAGATGCTGCAGAAGATGTTTATATCCCACAGTTGCCCAGGAACCAGAGTGGGAAGAAGAAAGTCTTTACTGTGCTGAAGTTTCTTCTGCAGGAAGGCAGCAGTGAAAAAGGATGCTCCAGTGGATGGTGCACAGAGTTATTCTGGGAGGATTTAAGAAGCTAATAGCTGCACAGGCCCCCTTTAATGAGCCTGGATACTCTGGGAGAATGCCCTGAATTTGATGCCACAAGATCCACATCATCATTGTCTCTTTTTCCTTAGCACACATCTGTAGCCTCTGGAGAATTGGTTGTCCATGTCTGATAAATGGGACTGACCACGCTGGCCCTTTCTTCGAAGTAGTCCATCTCACAGTGTTTGTTGAAAACATAAGGAAGAAGTGTTGGGAGTGCCTTTATCATAGGAATTTCCCCATAAGTGGGAGGAGAGTGGCATTGCTCTTAGGACCATGTTTTGTAGACTGTCTCTGGGATCTCTGGGAAAAAATGATTCTGCTATCTACATACTTTCAGGATGTCCACAGGATGTCCATGGGAGAGGTCCACTGACACACAGGGCAAGTACCACTGTCATTGAAAGCTCCCATGGGCCTTTCAGAATATGTTCTAAATGACATCATATCTGGAGCTTCTAGAATAGCTCATTGCATGATGCTACAGGTCTCACTTCCATGTAACAGGTGCATCTCGACAGGACTGCTGAATGATGTTACTGTGTAGCTCCTGGTGTCCTCTAAAACAGGTGATTCAGGAGGGTAAAGTGGGTTTTGAGTGTCACATACTGTCACCTTACCCTACAGTACTGTTAGCAGGGAGGGAAGTTAATTGGGGGCCTTGGGAACTATCACAGAGCTAGAACGATGTCCCACCACATCACTGATGCTCCAAGAGTGGTAGCCCAGGTTTGCAGCTCCAGTTCTCAGCCTGCTTCCTGCCTGCTCCAGTTGCCTCTTCATGTTTCCTGTTCCTTCAGTTGGACCTGACAACGGTTATTACAAATGTGATTATTTTGAACACTCTGTGTTTCCCATTAGTCTTACTGCCCTTCATTCCATTAGACAACAGTGTCATCCACAGAGTTGAGATGAATCCTCTACTTGAACATCTGCCCAGACCATTGAGGGACAATGCCCTCAAGTTCCTACAAAGCCTGTCGTCTGAAAGCCCCCCCACCCCACCCCGAGGATCCACCAGAGGCCTGAGGCCTTTTATGACCATAAACTCACACACTACAATTTCCATAACAGTGTGATTCTAAACTAATTAGTGCTATTCAGTAGAAGAGAAGGTCACAGAGGTTGTCAGAAGCCAAGATTAGCCCGGTGAGTTGTTGCCTGAGTTTTCTCCTTCCTTGTAGGGGTAAATACACCCTCTAGTACATAATTTACCATCTGCAGCCTTCATAAGCCACCCACCATGATAGGATTATATGTATGAAGACTAGAAGAGACCTGGAGGGTAACTGGAGGCACTCCACGAGGGATACAGTGGAGAGTGAAGACCCTGTGGAATGTTCAGGAAAGTGGTAGGGGTATGGGCACAGTAGGCAGTAAAAGGCACTCTCCCCAAATATAGTCTGAAGGCTGGCCTTTTTTGAGACAGGGGGCAGAGAGCGTGAGTTTGGGTATGTAGTTATATCAGATGCATGCATGTGGAAGTCAGAAATTAACCTCATATGTCATTCATCAGAGACCATCCACCTTGTTTTTTGAGACAGTGTCTCTTTCTTACCAGCTTACAATTCACCAAGCAGGCTAGACTGGTTGGCACCCATTCTTTTGGAAAAAGAACTTTAATGACAAAAACCCAGTCCTACCACTTCCATGACTTTGGTCACCACATACAGGCTTCACCAATCAGAAGGCATGATCACCACATGTAGCCCTGACCAATCAGAAGGCATGATGATCACCACATGCAGGTGTGACCAATCAGAAGGCCTTTATTCTAGTGGGTGTAGTTGCTGGACCATGAAGAGCCATTCAGCATCCTCCTTTTGATCTTTCTCCCAGCACCTGATGCCCAGGCCTCCAGGGATTCTGGAGATAAACCCTCTCTGCCCAGATTGCTGCATTGGGAAGGCAAGCATGTAGTGTTCCCATGGTGTTCCCTCAGGACAGACATGAGCTCTGAGCTCCTGGGGTCTCCTTGAAGTACAACTAAGAAGTGGGGTAGAGAAGAGCTTTGCTGATGACACGGTGGCCCTGTGACACACCTGGCTTCAGCAAACCCATCCACAGTCACCTGTTTCATGAGTGTCATTGTTTTCTCTCCTGTGTGGGGCTTTTTAAGTCAAGTTTCCTTCCTGAATTGGTTATTTCCTGGCTTCATGTTTGAGTTGTGTTAGGCAAATCATGTAGATTTGCCAATTAAAACAGCTCTGTTCTATAAGAAAAAGGACAAAAGTCTTCTTCCCCATAACACAGTCACCCCATTGTAGCAGGAACTAGGCCTATTCTGGGTACCAGAACATAGCCTTTCTATCATATGTGCAGTGAACAGGAGTGTGCATTGACAGCCAGCTAGTCGCTACCCTGAAATCACCACAAACTTCCTACTGACTCTTGCTTTTAAACCTGAGACTCTTAACTCTACCCAGTAAAAACACTCAAGGTGTAGTTAAAAGTGCATGCACTGGGAATTCCATGCAAAATGGCAGATAAATGAGCTCTGGAATTGATCTTTTTTCATTGTGAGAATCCAAAAAAAAAAAAAAAATGAGAGTAGGGAGATAATTAGAAAAATTGATGTTAAAAACCTATGTGTATATTTTACAGTTGTGAGGAAGAAGGTCTGTTGGTTAGGAAGCCGTGTGTGTGTGTGTGTCTGTGTGTGTGTGTGTGTGTGTGTATACATATGCATGCATGAGTGTACTTGTGTGTACAAATATGTAAGATAGAAGACAACTTTGAGTGTCCCTCCTCAGATGCCATCTGTATTTTAATTGAGGGACAAGATCTCTCAGTGACTAGAACTCTTAAAAGTAGGCTATGCTGGCTGCCCATCAGGTATCTGCCTATCTCAGAGCTTAGACATGCACACCATCATGCCTGGCCTCTTACAGAGGTTCTAGGAATGGAATTCAGGGCTTATACTGTAAAGGCAAGCTTACAACTGAGCCATCTACACCACCACCACCTGCTCCCCCCCCCAGGTGTTTTTTTTGTGTTTTTTTAACCTTCCACAAATGGTTTCAGACAAAAATCCATGTGCCCTTGCAAGATGCTAAGTAAAGTTCTGTGTGGAACCTCCCTTGGCTCAACAAGTGCTCAGTACCCCTGGGCTGAGTACATGAAGAGTCAGAAGGGATTCACAAGAGGATTAGGGTCCTTGTGACCTCCTACCATCTCCTTTTTGCAGGGTCAGGTTGTTTTGTGGCCTGCTCTTTCTCTGGCCATCCTGGAGAGCCCTCCCTTCAGCCAAAAGGCTTCTTCTGCAAGCACATCTGTTTGAGCTTGGTTATCTGAACTTCTTGTGCTAGCAGCTATGAGATGCTTAGGAACAGTGACAATTCAAACCAACCCTGTGTTTGTTGCTTGTTTTTGCAGGGTTTTGTTTCACTTGGGCAATTTTTTGCTTTGTTTTTTATTTTGATTTATTTTTTTAACTTGCTTTATGCTTTTGTTTTCAGAAAGAGAATGTGATGTTGGGTGGGTAGTGAGGTGGGA